TATTATAAAAGAGATGACCAATGAAATGGTAATCATCAAAATCCACAAAGGCGTATTTCCCTTTAAAATAATAGTAAAGCAATCATTCACTAACGGTACGTTTTGTTTCTATGGCAAAATGGAAATATTCTCATTAGATTTTCATTTTTGGGTGTTTGTTTGCCATTATGGGAAGGGAAACCATGTGGTGCTAGTTCCCAAAATTAAGAATACGGGGTTGTGTTGAAATGGTGTAACCCTAGTGACAAAGTGTTGTAATAATAGTAAAGACAGCAGATGGAGCTTATTGGTAATTGCTTTTCAAACCGAAGTTGCAGTGGTGTGAAATTATTGCAAGAACTCGAAACTGGGAATTACAGGAAGATGGAGGGTTGAATCGAATCACTTGGTCACTCTCCTTAAAATCGTATTTGCCCCCTATGATGCATCCGGGTGATCGCAAACCAATCGCCAAGATAAAACAGCCCACAAGCCACTAGTAGGCATGCACTCGCTTACCATACCTCTGTGAACCACAAAAGATTGATGCTCAGATTTCTCAAAGAAAACAAGAATGTCGAAAATGGTGTGTGTGTAGACTGTGTCAACCAGTACTATTCTTATAGAGTGCTCTTAGATCTGAATAGACACAGATGTGTCCTTTCAAACAGGAGACTCTTCAGAATAGTGTACCTGTTCAAAGAGACACAAAAGAGAAAACATTTAAATTTGAAATTGAAAATACTCAATTTAAAAAAGAAAAATGTGTAATTCGGTTAGATCAAAAAGATTCGGTGCAATGTGTTCTCGCCCTCGACCCGGCCCGGCTCGACACGTGTGTAAAGCACCCCCAACCCCCTCTTACATGCATGAAATATCTATAGTCTTCTCCTCCTATGGGTCCCTACCCATAGAGGGAACAAAACTACAAATATACTCCACTTCCACCCCTTTCCAAGTAATGTGGGATAAGAAGTCATTCAAGGGAGGAAAAGACAAAAAACAAGGGAGGGAGGAGAGAGATTCTTGTAAATTTGAATCTCCCTCTAATAAAAAGAAAAAGTCATGAAAATCTAAAACTCCACAGTCGACTCTCACTACCTCCCTACGTTTACAGTGGTCAAGTCTCCAGTGATGTTCCTGGCAAAGAATAGCTCTACAATTAATCGACTCTCACTACCTCCCTACGTTTACAACAGTCGACATTCATCGGTGTTTTTTTTTATGTTTTATTTATTATTTTTTTCAAAATTGATTATGAGGGGTTGGTTTAAAGCCCAGTTACCCTCTGAACCATGGCCTGACCCAATATAATCCCTGGAGGGAGCGTATTGGAAAGCCATCGATATTTTGAACCTTGGTCACAAGAAAGAGAAAATAATTCTGTACTCCTACACTAGCAATTGATCACATTTCTCCAGTTTTTGAAATAATCTCTTAAAATTTTTGTCACCTATGCACAATTGCCAGTTGACAGTAAACTTTTATACTCTCTTTCTCTGTGAAAAAAAAGAGCCTGGGCTGTTTTTTAATTAAAAGAGTAATTGCAATAAAGATTTTTTTTTAATTAAAAGGGTAAATTGCTGAAACCTCACCTGAAGATTTTGTTTGTTACTGAATTTTCCCATAAGTTTAGTAATTGAAATCACCTATCCTAAGCTTTCTCATATAGTTGTCCTTTGTTAGAATTCTCCAAAAAGAGGCCTGAAAATGTCAAAAATATCTATGTAGTTACTTTTGACCAAAATATTTATTTTCTAAATTTTTTCTTCATATGAATTGCTAGCTCAAACCCTTCCAATCTTTTTTTTTTTTCTGAAATTGATTTCTTTTTCAAAATTGCTTTTCTCTGTTTTTCTTGGTTATAAAGTTAATATTATTTATTTTGCTGTAGAAATCAGCCTTAATAGTAACTGTATGGGTGTTTTGGACACTGGGTCTACTTGCAATTGTATGATAAAGCTCATGGGAAGTGATTGTAATTATCAAAATTTAATTTTATATTTATTTATACTCTTTCCAAACGAGCCTAAAGTGGCATTTGACAAGACTTATTCAAGGTCTAAAGTCTAAAAAACTTGCTTTTTAAATATCAATGACAAAATGATTCAATGTAGGCCAATGTCTAAAACATCCTTGATTTTTTGTTCCAAGATTGACATCATTCGGCCCTTTAATAATAATCTATTTTGATCCTTAGTTATTGGAAAATAGGCCCACGGTTCCGTTAATGGAACTATGAGTGCCACTAGTTGAGAGGAAGCTTTAACACATCTAAATGCATTATTTTCTCACGAAAAAGGAATCAATTTAGGGCGTTTCCTCCACCAATAATCATTACTGGTCACTTCCAAGTAAATTTGATGGCTTTTTTTTTACACTTTTTCTTTTTAAAGTGTTCTTTGGTGTCTCCCTTTCATTGGGTGAAAATATATAGTGGGCTTGGATCTGCTACTACAAGTTGTTCCCACATCTTTACCCACAGGGCATTACAGTTGTACATTTGGAATATCTCCCTTTTTATTTATAGGGTGATGTTCCTAATACACGGTGGTGGTGTTCTGTGGATATAGATGTGAGAACATTTAGTGGGTAGCAGATCCCCAGTAGAAAATAGTAACTTTTTAAGGATAAGTAATTTTAACAGTTGTAGATGTTTTACAATCATTCCAACTCAAAACACTTGTATTTTTTTGGTGCCTTAAAAGTAATAAAAAAAGCATATTTTGTATCTTTTTAGACGTCAAACATTAATAATAACATTTTAATTTTTCAAACATCAGACTTCAAAGTTGTCAAATGGCACCTAAACCTCCAACCCCTAATACTAAACCTTAAACCCCAAATCTTAAAAAACTAAACTCTAAACCCTTAACCTCTAAATCTTAAACCCCTATACCTTATTCCTAAACCCTCAAGTTAACGTGTGAAATGTCCTTCGAGTGGGGTAGAAGCCAAATATTTTCCCTTATAACGCCTAGGGGTGGAATCAACCTTGAACCTTGAATCGACCTTAAACCAACCCTACTCAATTTGTTATGGGGTAGGGTCGGGTTCGAGATTCTTGGGATTGATCGGCAACCTGGGCAACCCCACCCGGTCCTATAACTACCAACTTTCATAATTAGAACCAACCCTATAATCCACCTTCACAAGATAGATGATTTTTATTCCAAAAAGAGGTTCCTGCTGACAATGACAAAGGTARCTTTTGGCCCCTAATATCAATAAAAATAAATTTTGTAATATAATTTCTATAATATGCTATTTTTTTTTAAAAAATATATATATCAAATGAAAACAAACCTTACCCACCTCCAATCTCCCCCACCTCTCTTCTTCTTCTTCTTCTCTGCATCTGAGTTCTTTCAAACTTAGAGCAGAGCATTAGTTTCCCTATCCTCTCACCACAACCTATTCGTTCTATTTAACTCAACTTGCGGTAGACGGTAAAGCCATCAAACCCGGCGCACTCAGGTGCGACAAATATATTGCAGAGTAAAGTGGAGAGGGAGAGGAATCTCACTGTTCATTGCAGAGCAGAGTGGAGAGGAATCTCACTGTTCATCTTTGAGTTTGGAACAACTCAGATGTGAAGAAGAGAGAGAGAGAGAGAGAGAGTATTAGCGGTTTCTACTTACCCTCTCACTCAGCCTCTCTTTGAAAACCCGACCTTCGAATCCTGAGTTGAAGCTGCGATGCGACTGCTAAAAAGCTCACAGTCTGAACAGGGCTTAGTATCCGAATCACTTTGGTTGTAGTGTTTGCTCGTAGCATGTCTGCACTCCCCAGCAAAATCTCGAACTCAGTTATCATGCTTTCAAGCACAGAATTGACATTCCCCTCCTCCCCATTCACCGCCCTCCCTCCCCGCCTCAGAAGTTCAGAAAGGGGTGGCGCCATTACACTCCTGTAGCCTCGCCAGTTCCTCCTCCAATTGCCACTCCTTCACACTTGTCTCAAACCTCAGCATTTCCATCATCTGCACTTGGTCCTGCGATAGGTCCCCAATGGAATTGGCAACGAGCCGGAACACCAGTCCGGGTCTGAATCCGCTAATCTAGAACAAGGCCCGCTTTAAGGAGTTGAATCGGGGGGGCGACAACACGAGGAACACGTCCCTGTGAGCCGCTCTGGATTTCTCCTCCAAGTACTATTGGTAGTGTGTCAGGACCCGCGCGATGAGATCTCTAAGGTCCTACTCGCGTGAATCATTCAAAGGAGGAAGGAGGTGAATAGAAATTTTGGTAGTTTATTCTTTTTTAAGGCTTAAAATATATTTTATTCTTTCAAGAAGTTGATACAAAGAGATGCCAAAAAGGCTAATTAAAGTTCAGAGATAATTTCTCAAAAAGAATAAAATAAATAAATGGATGAAAGAGAATGAAAAGAATTTCTGCAACAGGTGAATTAAATTAATAAATACATCTCCAAACCACTATAACTGGCGAATTTAACTGATATGAGAGGTTTCCAACAAAGACAATAATTGACAGTGAAAGTTACACAGCCAAACAACCATAATCTGTAATTTCCAACCAATCCAATCTGCAAAAGGTAACCTATTCTAAAGATTATATTAAAAAAAAATATTTTTATTAATATTAGAGGCCAAAAGTTGCCCTTATCGGCAAGAACCCCCAACTAATGACCTTAAGCCGGCGTCAATAGGGGGAATAGTCACGGTGGATAACTAACTAACCTGTAGTGTCTGGACGGGGTTCTTGCCACCGCGAACCAAAGCGAACCGACCGCTACTCACCCCTACTGGCGCCGGCTCAAGGTGGTTAGTTATCCACCGCGGAATGGACCCCACGTCCACCAACTCGTCATTCGCAAATCGTTAGTTTGGTTGTTCGCATGATTCCACACCTATCAGTCAATCAATCCATTTTTCTCCCTACTTCGCAATTCCTACTATTATTGTACTCCCCTATAGTCCCTACTCCCTACCTCAATGGTTTATTCCATGACCGTCTGATTGATGTCGGACCTCTCAGTAACTATTACTGATTATTAGATATATTGAATCCAACGTTCAGAGATCACTCTTCGCGTCAACTCCCTATACCCCTTGTTTCCAGATTCTGCCCATGTTCGGTTCCTCTCTCTCTCTCTCTTCTGAACGCATTATGGGATGACGGAACGTTGTGGAGAACGAAGAAGATGACATTCTGAAACAGCTCATTCCCAACCACTCAACCTCCTTCCCCGAAGCCTTGGCCCAAGGAAAGCTCCCCCTCCCCTACTCCCAGACTCCAACACAACCATGGATTTCTCCGGCGACCTTTCCTCTGCCACCGTCATCTCTCCGATGAATTCCAACTTCCCCGCCTTCAATTGCACCGACATTCTCCGGAGCATCTTTCAGAATTTGCCGCCGTCGGACCTCGCTCGAGCTGCCTGCGTTTGCCATCTCTGGAACTCTGTCGCCTCCGATCGACAGATTCAGACCAGAGCTTTCAAATCCCCATGGAAATTGAAGGACGTCATTGGTAATCCCACTTCCACCAGCTTCTGGCGCGATAACAGCCTCGGTCGATTCGCCATCTCTCACCGCCTCGTTCGTGGAGATACTGTCGCTAGCCTCGCTGTCAAATATTGTGTTCAGGTACTCTCTCTCTCTCTCCCCTCAGATGGTATAAGAAGTCATGAGAGGGACATATAACATATTTTCGTTTGCAGTGGGAAAACTTTCACAATATCTTCAGAATTCTTTCTCGGAATCCTACATGGGGAATCCAAGAAAACTTGCGAATTGGGGATGTTTACTTCTGGTTGAATGATCTTGCTCAAGTCATCGTTTCTGTCCGACTAGTCATTTTTCTCCCTTTTCCTAAACATGTATTTTACGGTGGCAAGTTACTGATTAGATATAGTACATTTTTCATTCGTTGTGGGAGATGCATGAGGCATAAATTTGTGAACCCACAAAAGATAATTTACAAATGTAGATAGTTAGAGATTTCAGAGAATGTCTGCAGCAGAGTAGTACATTTTTGTGAGAGAGTTCAATCTCAAAACCTTATTCAATTGTAACTAAGCTGCATTTTTGCACTGTCTGTCTGGTTTTGTGGCCAAGAATTTGTAACATAAAGCAAGTCTAGGACCTTAAATTAACGAGAAACCAAAATGAAGAGAAGATAGTCTTTGAAGAATACAGCAATTAGTTTTTTTCAAATCCCACTACATGACGTGGATAACAATTTAGTAGGGGTTACGCTTTAAGAATATATTCCTTTAGGTGACTGCAATTAGTTTCCTCTTTTTATCAACTGCAAGAAAACTTCATCAAGAAAAGAGGAGTAGATGGATTTAATGGTGGGAGAAACAAGAGACAATCACAAGCAACCAACACTATGTTAGCCTTCTAGAGCAAACATTTTTACAAACTCCATTATTAGCATCGGAATATGGGGTGTCATTTGCTGATATTGGCACATTAGAGGTAAAAAAAGCAAAACGAGAGAGCAGTTCATACATTTCTGACTAAGTGGATGAATCTCCATGGTGGGGTTTCTACTTCCTACTCCTATCCCTTTCCTCAGATTTTCTATTGACTATCAGACTGGTGTTCTCTAAAGTAATAATATTAGATCATCCATCCACCATAGATTCATTGTTCTGAGCTTTCCTATGATATGTAGATGATAGATGTTGAGGGTAACTTGGAGTTTCTCTTCATATGTTCCGTACCTGTCACTAGTGTTTGGAATCATGTGCCAAAGAAATTTGAGTTTTTCCTAATTCTTTGACAATCAATTGTCTCAGTTTTTCCGTGTTGGTTGAGGATATAATTGAATAACAGCTGGATGAATTTATTGACACCACTGTTGGTTTTTTTACCTTGTGTTTGAGGCCTTCTCAGGAAAAAGATCCTACTTTTTTGCATAGTAGTTGCGTTGATTGATCAATGATACAGAACAGTGGCAGAGAAGATGTTAAAACTCTTGAGACATGGAAAGAACCTATAGGTTCCATGTCATCAAGCTTAAATTTGATGTTAGTCAGCTAAACTCAGAATGGGAGAGGAGCTCATTTTGTTTCCTTTTTGGTTCTAATGGATAGTCTGAGAGTAGGTGATGCTTGTTTAGCTAAAACTGAGAAAATGGTCCCAGTAGATAGTAGATGTCAGGTCATGATTGGAGGAGTACAGAGGGCTCATTCTTCAAATCCCTATTAGAAATGATTAATTGATAAAATTCAACTTTTGGTGTCTGGAAAACATGCAAAGATCAGATGAGTTGGCGATCTCTTTAGTCATTTTTATCAAGTCTGAGACTATCTGACTGATAAGCATGTTTGAAAATTGTTATTGCCCTTTTTCTGGCTGTTTGCTTCCATTTTCATATTTTCCCTTCTGGTCATCCATTTAAGAGTCGTTTAAAGATTGTCACCTCAAATATAGATCTCTTTCCTTAAATGCAATGACATGCTTGGGAATATTCTTTGTATCTGCAGGTTATGGACATTAAACGTTTGAACAATATGATGAGTGACCATGGCATCTATTCGAGAGAGAGGTTGTTAATCCCTATAAGCAAACCAGACCTTCTTATAGATGGCACATGCTACATAGAACTCGACACATATGCGAAAAGAGAAGTCGCAGTACTGTATTTAGAGGGTGGTCCTGATGAAAATCCAAGCTGTCTGTTAAAAGGGTCAATCACCGACAGAGGCAAGAAGAGGGTGGTTGACTCACTGAGGAGAAGCATGCATGTTGATGATGGTACTGCTGAATACTACTTGTCTATTTCAAATGGTGATCCTCGGGCTGCATTCACAGAGTTTTCTGCCGACCTCAGGTGGGAAGAACATGCAAGGTTGTCCTAGTTCAATAGTCATTGTGCAATTTCAACAGTAAAGAGGGTTGATCGGTTCCCTGTCCATGAGATTTTCTTGCTTTTTGTCTGGTGGAACTTGTAACATGTTCAAACAATGACTATTGAACAGTCACAACTTAAAAAAACACATACAGAGTTGCTTTTTGTTGAAATTGCACAATGACTATTGAACTTGTAACATGTTCAAACAAGGGTGGAACTTGCTTTTTTAAGTTGCTTTTTGTCTGGTGGAACTGAACCACCATGGCCAGGAAATTCTGTTCCCAACATGTTTTTTTCATGTCTTTGTGATGAATATTACAAACACATACAGAGAGAGAGAGAGATGCTTCGTTTTTGCCTCTTGGAAAATGTTTCAAGTATGGTCTTGTACGTTAAGAGTTATTTCTCAACAAGGCATGGTTAAGAAAAAAAAATCGTGGTGTTGGCCAAGGAAAATAATGCTCCTGCTTCACAATTCCAACAATTTTAGAATAATGCACTGATGCACCACCCTCGACATGCTTCCTATTACAATAAATAATCCTGCAACTTCCCCTTCCATTTTCTTTCATGTTTGTTTTCTGTACACATGGGAGACTTGATGCAGAGAAAGCTCGGGGTGGCTTCAATAATGCCAAACTTGAATGTCATCACCCTCAATGCTTGTTTGAAACAAAAACAGTACAGGGATCCGGTGAGACTAGACGAGTTCAATTGGATACTGCGTCTGTCTCTCCATTTAAATGTCTGGATTCTGATGACAATGCAGCCAACTCTTTCTCCTGCTGTTTCTTAAGAAACCCTTGTGCTGTTGCTGTCACAATTTTGGCAAAGAAATTAAGCAGCATGAGCCAAACAACAGTGTTCCAGATTGATGCCATGGACAGATCCCATTTCTTGACCTGAAAATAACAGCAAAAGAAAATGAAAATCAGAGGTCATTATGATAGTAACAGAAAAGGAAATGATAAGATCCTTTTACGCCGATAGAATAACCTGACAAATCCGGTATAACCAGAAACACAAACTGCTAAATAAAACAAGTTTAGTTATACTCAATGACCACTTAAATAATCCTCCAGGTACTAAATGAATCCCTGGTATTGGTAAAAAGATTCTCATGCATATGGATCAGTTTTAACAATAAATTAAATATTTCTGTCAAAATCAAAAAATGGATCATTAACAACTGATTGAGAGAAAAATTCGAGGAAAAAAATAGGTCATGCAATGCAGGTCTTGGCTATCCAGGATCTTGAGAAAGGTGCACTGGATACAGAACTACTCGTGGTATTTTAGCACAAACAGGTTGCTCTTAAACTTGAACCAGCATTTTAATGCTTGCCAGCCTGATATTAACTAGAACACCAAATAATTACCCCTAAATTCAAAGCAATGCAAGTTACTTAAATCAATGTTTTAAAATGTGGAGGCATGATACAAGATGTTCCACTACCCTAAGGTGTGAAACTTGTAAGCCTCATGAGAATGGATGTTTTTAATTACAAATACATAAATAAAAACAGGAAAATTTATGAGAATTTAGAAAACTTTACATTTACATTTTGCAATTTCTTATAATAAAATCCTTATATTTAAATAAGTAGAAATCACTAATTGCATATTTAGTCGAGTTTCTTGTGAAAGGAAAGAGGGGGAAGATGAAGATTGCAGCAGTAGAGAAGAAAGGAGAAGAAGAAAAGAGTAGGAAGTCAACCAGGATTGTAAAATTAACCCTAGCCGCCTACCTCTCATTATATTTATACTTAACTTAAAGGATGAGATATTATAAGGATGCCTTTAGTAGGGCAGCTACTAATATAGCTGAACAGTCACAACTTAAAAAAACATAACT